CCAAATTCAGCTCAGAGGAAGAATTCCATTTTCAGTGCTCTCAGTCTAGCAACGGGCCCACGCAGCCATCTCCCTAGTTGAACCAGCCCACACAACCAGAAGAGAATCCCCATGCAATAGTACTGTCATACATCCTGGACTCCAAGCAAGGCTTGTTCCCCATCAGAGTTCTGTTTGAAGGGCTTTCCTCTGGCAGGCCATCGGTTTTTCTTCTGTTGCCAATAAAAATCCCAGGCACTGTTCTTTCTCCTTCGCTTCCTTCTATTGCTTCTGACAGAGTTTGCCAGTTAGCTGAGGTCAGGATTTCCTTTTTACAAACAACCTGCTTTCAGTCAGCGGGGGCCAAAGGTTTCCTAAATTACAAACCCTTTCATTTCTTCTGCCACAAGTTATCCTGTCAGTTTGTATAATTGCACAGAATGGAGAGAAATGGAAACATTCTGAGACCCTGAGAGAAATGTGCTTTTAAGAATCCTATCCTTTTGCACAGAGCTTTTTACTAAACAGTTCTGAACCCAGACCACCTTAGCTGAAGGTTTTGTAGCTGTGTTTAGAAAGAAATTTCTTACAGGTCTGAAAGGAACCCCGATATCCATGGCATCATCCCTATAGCCTGTTTAAGCAAAGGGCTTCCTTTAGATTCAGGAAGGAAACTGCCGCTTAATAGTCAACTGTATTGAAAAGTAAAAATTTTACGATATTAAAAAATGTGTGTGTAGTGGACATTTAATCTTGATTGGAAGACAAAGTTTAAACCAACCCCTGGTCAGACAGCATAGAATTAAAGGTGCTAAGGTTCATAAAAAAATATCACTAGCTATGGAAAACTGGAAAGCTGTACCAACTGTAGACAAGATGCCAAGTATGTCTTGAAAACAGAAAAAGGGAGCCTTAGGTCACCAAGATAGGTAGTGATATATCCGGGAGACCAACAAGGCTTGTACTGGCTTGAGCACAGTTTCTCATGATCTTGCATTGTCTTATGAGTTGGTTAGAGCTGTGACTCCATTCACCTTTGAGCTCTCTCAGACCATTTTACCTGAATTGTGGTTAAATTGTGGAATATGTAAACGAGAGTTTCCATCAGACTTTAGCCTATTAGTTTAAGCAAGTTTGGTGGCAAACAGGTTCCAGTCCACATGTGTTAACATAGGAACTTGCATAGAGATCCCTGCTCCTATCCTGCTTTTCTTTCTTCTATGAGGGAGGGGGAAAAATCAGACTTTTGTATAATCACAGTATCAAGCCTGAAGTTTTTCTCTGATGAAATCTCTTATCTCCTTGCTAGTGAGTTCCCAGTTCCCGCCTCAGTGATACCTCTGACCCTCACTCTCTGCACTCCATTCCCATCTCCCCGACTCTCCTTCATTTCCTTTATCTCTTACCACTTTCCTTCCCACCCTAGAGCTTTGATGGTCACCCCTCGCCCCCTCCCCACCTTCTGCTTAGATCAACTCCTGCCATGGGGGCAGGGTGAGTTTCAGATCAGTTGTCACTGGTTCTTGAGGTAAGTTATTCTTATTTATTTATTTGCTTTTTGGGTCACACCCGACTTTGCACAGGGGTCACTCCTGGCCCATGCATTCAGGAATTACTCCTGGCAGTGCTCGGGGGACCATATGCGTTGCTGGAAATCGAACCCCGGTTGGCCTCATGCAAGGCAAATGCCCTACTGGCTGTGCTATTGCTCCAGCCCCCAGAGGTAAGTTATTCTTGCGAGCTCCACCTCTCACCCAATTAATGTTTGCATTGAAACCAATTTATCATTAATTTTTTCTTTTGTGATAGCCCTATCTCAGTGCTCGAGGCCAGGGTCTAAACTTTTTCATCTTGGTTTTTAGACTAAACCAGAAGGGTACAATTTTTATAGAAATAGCTTGTGTGGTTAAAAAGGCTGATGGATTTAGATGGGAAAGGGGAAATATGCGTGTGGATGCTTAGCCAGAATAGCAGGTGATGCTAAATTACCCGGAAGTGAGTATTCTCAGCACTACATGTGAAAATCTTTCTTGATTTGTATTGAGTATACATTCATAAATATTCAAAATATTCAAATATTTTCACCATCGGGTGAAAACTTCACAGTACAGAACAATGGAGCATATATTGTTTGGTAGGTGATCACATTGCTGACTGGGAACTGTGACTTCCTTACACTGGGTAGCATCAGAAGTACTATGCCTCATTCCAGTAAGATTTAATATAGAGTTTCCATTGAATGCATACTTCTTTTTTATGATGGTAAAGTTGAAAAAAGAATTCTAAGTCCAGCCACTCTAAGCCTGTCAGGGTTTATCTGGATTTTTTTTTTGGGGGGGGGGTCACACCCGGCAAAGGTTACTCCTGGCTCTGGACTCAGAAATTACTCCTGGCAGTGCTCAGGGGACCATACATATGGGATGCTGGGAATCAAACCCAGGCCGGCCGCGTGTACAGCAAACGCCCTACCCGCTGTGCTATAGCTCCAGCCCCCATCTGTATTGTTTGTCATTGTAATAACTTTGAAGCAGATATTGCTTCCCTCTTTTGACAGATGAGGAAACGAGGACACAGAAAAATTAGCTTCTTATTAAATTAACTGGTATCAGAGGCAGGAGCAGGGATTAGAATCCAGGCAGTATGGCTGTAGTGGCAGGCTACTTAGTCGCGAGACCGCACTCTCTTCTAGCTCTCTGAGGGCTCTTCATAGCTCTCCGTATTTCAGAACTCTCCAGATTCCTCTTATATCTTGCCATTTTCTTTTTCCAATTCCTTGGCAAATTTTATTATCACTGTTACTGAAAATCCCAGTTTCTATTTCTACTCTTTTCATCTGATTCTAGCTTCTGGCCACCTGGATGTTTCTACCAGCCTAGAGGTTTATCTGTTTTGCTTCTTGTTCCATGTTGCATGCAGCAGAACATATTTTGTTCTATTCTCCATGCAGTAGACAGGTCAATCATTTCCGAGTTTGGTCACATGCCCTCACAAAGCCATCAATGGTCCTTCACCCATTTAAAATAATATCCAATTACCTCACTATCCCCTCACGACTTTCTCAGTGTCTCAAGGCATGATTTTCAGTCCTATGATGCAGGGAATAGAAACAGTCTACCCTGTGTCCAACCTCTGGTCTCGTCAGGTTGCCTATTTCTAAGCTATCCTTGCAGTTTCTATGTCTTGGCTCTGTCCATCTTTTCCACAGAAGCTTATGTCCTGTCACTAACCGGATTCCTTGTTTAACACTTGCTGTAAAGTACACTTCTGTAAAAAATACCAAATGTCTTATTCCCTTATTCAAAATGTATATATTTTTTGTCAATTTCTACCTACTCCAATTTAAATTCAAGTGCTCAGCTGTGGATAATACTCCCCATGCTGGGCTCAACAATTCTTTACTAAAGGGAATAATATGACCCATCAGTAAGGAATCTGGATTTTGTGTCGGAGACTTTTCAGAGAAGCTAATGATACCCTGTGATGGGAGAGACACTAGAGCGGTATGTGATGGATAGAGGGTCCACAGAGTCTTTGACAGCAATGGAAAGAAGAAGCAGAGATCCTTACCTGCCACTTGGTACACCAAAGAGCCTGGTTCTAGTTAATGATGGCTTGCTCAGCAAAATGAGAATGTTAAGAAGCAAATAGTGTATTTGGAAGCTGCAGAATGCCAGCTAGAGAATTTTGGGTTCTAATATATTAAGTAAAGGGGAACACTTTAAACATTTGACCAGAGAGCTTCAGGTTGGAGTCAGTGCTTCAGAAAGTCGGCATTTTGCCTGTTTTGCCTCTTTTCATACTTTTCTGGAAATACAAGACAAAAATACCTCCACTACATATCTCCACTTTTTTTAAAAGCATGCTCAGACAATTCATTACATAAGCCATTTGACCCAGTGTGAGCATGTTAAAAATAATCATGAGACTACTAAATAAGTCCAACAATTGCACGTTGAACTTTCATGTTTGTATGAACAAACACTTTGACCCAAGCCATTTGACCCAGTGTGAGCATGTTAAAAATAATCACGAGACTACTAAATAAGTCCAACAACTGCATGTTGAACTTCATGTTTGTATGAATAAACACTTTGTTTCTGAGATAAAGTCATAAGGGGAAGCAAGTTTTTCCGTTTATAGCTCTTGGTCAGTGGTGATTAATTTGGCTAAATATTAGAGGTATATATTGTGGGCATGGATTTTGATGAAACTACTGTATAGTGCTGTCCCTTGGGTATTGGGAGAGCTCAATCTGTGCTCTACCATCTAAGATAACTTTATGTGAAATTCTGTTTTGTAGCAGATAAATCTGAGAGTTCAGTTTATATAGATGGGGGTTGGGAAAGAAAAGAGCTTTTCCTTTCATCTGTTCTTTAGTGATCAAAGAAACAGCTGTTACCCTTCAAGGTTAGTCCCCTCAAGGACTGATAAAGCCATTACTCCAATTAATTCCTTGGAGCACGGGGATCCTAATGCAACCAGGTTTCCTGCCACGGCCCATTCCTGAAAGCTAAGCACATACTGACATTCAACGAGCTTACAGTACTTCACAAATCAATTTTATTAATTTAAACACAAAATTAATGAAGAAAAATTCTGTACACATTTGTGGGCACACCTTTATACAGTAAAGCCAAGATAAACTCTGTGTTTGTAATCTCCAGAGTACAAAAATGTGGATGGAAAGGTTAAAAAAAATGCCAACTTATGTTTGCTTCAAGCAAAAAAAAAATTAAATTTCAATCATTAATTTAAACAATTTGGAGAATCCACAATTAATCTTAGCAGCAACATGAAACTTCTGAAAAGGATAGAGTAATTCTTGAATTCTTGAGAGACTCGGGGGTCAAAGCTGGTGTTTATTCCATATATATATGTGTGTATATATATATATATGTAATATATATATGTATATATACAACCAAAACACCTTATCCAAAGAGAAGTTTCATGACAATGGAAGGCATTATATGAGAGATATTAGTACCCAAAATGATCACTGATGGAGAACTTTCTTACAGTAGAACAAAAGTGAAAATTCCACTCCAAACCCACCCTGAATTTATGGCTGTCATATAATTTACAAAGTAGGTAAAGAGTAACACACTTTTCATAGAGGTGATGACTGGCCATATCTATTGCTGGCAATCTCCTTTCCTGGGAGGGTTGGAGTGGGTGTGACAAAAAAGAGACCAGGAATATTGGAAACAGTGTAAATTTTTGCTGATTTCCAGATATAGCCTATTTTATCTAAACAAGAAAATAAAGACACCATCATGTGAGCCCTAGAAAAGTCTGCTTTGCTAGTTTCCAATTCATGAAACTTTAATTAACAAAATAAATCTATTGTCTACATTTTTTTTGTGTGAGAAGAAACATTTGAATCATCACTTTTCCCCAAGTAGTTACATGTAATACATGAGTCTTGAAGATAAAACAGTGAGGTTGTCAGAGAACTCTTTAAATGATTTAAGACACTACTTGCTGTGTAATATCTGAAGGCCTTCCTAACAGCACGAGCAGAACTGCTGGGGAAAATTTTGGAAAACAAGATTCTATTGACACTTGACATCCATGCTTTTGGTCTTGACAACATTATCTAAACAAAACAAAACAAAACAAAACGAAACAAAACAAAAAACCAACAACAACAACCCAGAAACAGAAAACAGCCCAACCATTATCTACATATTTATACCCAGTACTTGGATAAGGCAGCCCACATGCGTGTGTGCAGACTGCCTCAGACTTCACTACCAAGGCATCGCTACCTTTCAATATCATTTCCCTAAACAATATGTAAAAGAATCATCCATTATTACAAATTTACACCAAAAATTCTTTCTGTACATGATTGTCTCAGTGATGTACATATTATACGTTTAAATTAGACATACTTTTAAACTACTTTGCAATGTGCTAAAATTCAAAGTACTTGCTGTGTTGTGAGGCAAAAGCCTTTTTAACTGCTTATTTCTTAGACTACTGTCTCTTCGATTCTTTTGATGTTGAAAAAGTCTGTTGGAGTGAACCACCTGGTATGTGAATTATACCTCAATAAAGCTGTTTTACTATATTTCTTTAAAAAGTCTGTTCATAAATAAGTAGGGATGTACAGATTACCCTGGGTATGAGACACCAAAAAGTAAACCTTCTTTATAGGAAAATTCCCCCACTGGTACTCAGGAGACATATTTCAGTTTTCTGTTGTGCAATCAAGTTTGCTGTATTGGAGAATCTCTTTATGTCACATTGAAGATGCTAAAAATGTAAGCGTTTGCAGGTCCGTTCTTCACAGGTTTGAACCATGTACTTAATGTGGCAAAGACACACTGTGCTGTGCTAGAACATTCTCATGGCTTATTTTCATGGGATTCACAGTACTAGAGTCAACAGCTGCTGTGAAGAAATAGAGGTGGTCCTTCAGTTACTACCAGGGCAGAAGTGAAGACCCACAGCAGCTGCATGTCAAGCTGTCGAAGTCACTAAGTTCTGGAGTCTGTGCTGACGTGAGACTCAGGCCTGCTGGATTGCACCCTGGTCACAGGGGCGGTTGTGCGGTTCAAAGTGCTATTTGGCTGTTACAGGTACTCCAGTTCCAATGCATGATGTAGGGCCATGAGGTCCGAGTGACTGGAAATCCTCCAGAAAGGCATGGCATGCTGGGGAAGGGACAGAGAGGCAAGGTGAGAACATAGAATACTCCCCATGCGAGTCTTAAACTTGCTTCCTGAACCCACGCCAAGTTCATCCACTTTTACAATACTGTGAACACTTGCAGTTAAGATCATAACACCACATCCATTTTTTAAAAATGGAATTAAACTAATGAAATGAATTTTCCCTTAAGAATATTGAAACACATTTTATTTTAATTTTTTTGGGTGTTGGGGCCATGATGCTCAGGGGTTACTCCTGGCAAAGTTCAAGGTCCATGCTGGATGCCAGGGATAGAACTAGGATCAGCTGAGTGTTGGGTAAATACCAAACCCACTGCGTTGTCTCTCTAGCCCCAAGAAATGCACTTTAAAATGAATGTAGTTTGGGCTCCATTTCCTTTAAGAAGGTGATAGATATTTCTTAACTAGAGCTACACTGTCATCGGAATGTCAATTTAAAACTTTAGATAAAAAAATAGGATCTACAAAACCACAATGAGATACCATCTCACACCTCAGAGACTGGCCCACATTCAAAAGAACAAAAGCAACCGATGCTGGCGTGGATGTGGCGAGAAAGGGACACTCCTTCACTGTTGGTGGGAATGTCCACTGGTTCAGCCCTTCTGGAAAACAGTATGGACGATTCTCAAAAAATTGGAAATTGAGCTCCCATTTGACCCAGCAATACCACTCCTGGGAATATATCCCAGAGAGGCAAAAATGTATAGTCGAAGTGACATCTGCACTTGTTTGTTCATTGCAGCACTCTTTACAATAGCCAGAAACTGGAAGAAACCTGAATGCCCAAGAACAGATGACTGGTTAAAGAAACTTTGGTACATCTACACAATGGAGTACTATGTAGCTCTTAGAAAAGATGAAGTCATGAAATTTACATACAAGTGGTACAATATGGAAAGTATCATGCTAAGCGAAATGAGTCAGAAAGAGAGGGATAGACATAGAAAGATTGCATTCATCTGGGGGATATAAAGTAACAAAGTATGAGATTAATACCCAAGAATAGCTGAGATCAGCACCAGGAGGATTACTCCATAACTTAGAGGCCAGCCGGGTATCCTAGAGGAAAGGGCTGTTCAGATAGAGAAGGGAGCACCAAATAAAGGATGTTTGGAGGATCCTCCCAGGAGGGGAGATGCATGTCGAAAGTAGACTATGGACTGAACATGTTTGCCACTCAATGCCTCTTTTGCAGACCACAACACCCAAAAGGAGAGAGAGAACACAGGGGATTGCCCTGCCACAGAGACAGGGGGGATGGGGGGATGGGGGTGGGAGGGATATTATCCATGGTGGTGGAAAATGGGCACTGGTGGAGGGATGGGTATCTGATCATTGTATAATTGAAACCAAAGCACAAAAAATTGTAAATCTACAACTTTAAAAAAAATAAAATAAAATAAAGGGAAAAAAATAGGATCTAGTAATGAATGAAACTTTGTCAAAATAGCTACCTTTCAAAACAACTATCTGTTTTTTTTTTTTTTAATCCTGAATGTTTTAGCAGTTTTTCTTAGTGGCATTGAAAATTTTCAAAACTCAATAAATTTGCTGGTATTTGAAGCAAGTTTTTATTAAAAATTAATTTCTACCAGCTATTTCTTAAATTGATCTTTTTCTTTCTTTGTTTTTCTAATTGAGTTATCATGTAATTACCATTACAAAGTTGTTCATGATTGGGTTTCAGTCAATGTCCCATCATCCATTCCTTCACCAGTGTTCATTTCCCACTACCAATGTCCCCAATTTCCTTCTTTCCAATCCCCCAACCCAAGTCTGCCTCTAAAGCTGACATCCCTCCGCCTCTCCCTTCCTTCCTCTCCCTCCTCCTCCCTCTCTCCCTCCCTCCCTACCCCACTTCCTCTACTTTTGGGCATTGTGACTAGCAATACAGGTATTGAAAGGTTATCATGTTTGTTTCTTTACCTATTTTGAGCACTCAGTTTTTGAACTGATCTTAAAATAACTTTACCATTTGGGAAAATTGCAAGTGAATGGCCAAGGTGCATTTTGCTTCTGTAGTTGTTTAAAGAAATAATCTAAAAATATAGTTCAAATGATAGAAATGTTTGTGGAATGTCTGAATTAACCAGAGACAACAAAAATAGGAAAAAAACAAGTTACCTCAATCATTAAGAATAAAAACATGATTTCTTTTTTTTAAAAAATTTTTATTAGTGAAACTCGGGTTGGTCATGTTGGCCGTTTGTAAGGCAAATGCCCTACCACTGTGCTATCGCTCCAGCCTTCTCGGAGAGCCCAGCAAGCTACCGAGAGTATCTCGCCCTCACGGCAGAGCCTGGCAAGCTACCTGTGATGTATTCGATATGCCAAACACAGTAACAACAAGTCTCATGATGGAGATGTTTCTGGGCCTGCTCAAGCAAATCGATGAACAACGGGAGGACTGTGACTGTGACCGTGATTAGTGAAACACCATGAGGTACAGTTGTAGACTTACAAGTTTTTGTGCTTGGGTTTCAATTATAAAATGATCACATACCCATCCATCCACCAGTGCCCATTTTTCGCCACCACGGGTCCCAGTATCCCTCCCACTTCCCATCCCCCCATCCCACCCTGCCTCTGTGACAGGGCATTCCCCCTCTGTTCTCTCACTCCTTTTGGGTGTTGTGGTTTGCAAAAGAGGCATTGAGTGGCAATCATGTTTGGTCTATAGTCTACTATCAGCATGCTTCTCCCATCTGAACCACAGTACTATCTGGCTCCTGAAAGAATATTCTTACAAGGGAAAATTAAAGGAAGGGTTTAACCTGAAAATATGGGCTTTTTGCTTTTTTTGGTTTTCTTTCTCTCCTCTTTTCCCCCTTCAGTCTTTAGGTAATATTGGAAGCTTCTAACTTTTAACATACCTCTCATAGATATGCATTATGTACCAGAAATGCAAAACCTAAAATACCTAACAATTTTTCTGACTCAAGTAATTGTTGAAAAGCATATCCTCCAGTATTATCCCAAATCTGTTATTACAGGAAGCAAACAGTGATGAACCTGGGTAATCATTATAAAGAGAACTTATTAGCAATAATTCTCACTTATGTAGCACTTTACATACTCGTATTTAATTCTCTTTATACCTCAGAGATAAATAGATATTATTAGTTTACTCATGATAGCACAGCGGTAGGGTGTTTGCCTTGTGCACGGCCGGCCCGGCAGAGCCAGGTTCAATTCCCCTGCCCATCTTGGAGAGCCCGGCAAGCGATGAAGAATACCTTGCTCACACGGCAAAGCATGGCAAGCTGCCCATGACGTATTCAATATGCCAAACACAATAACAACAAGTCTCACAATGGAGATGTTACTGGGCCCACTGGAGCAAAACAATGAGCAACGGGAGGACAGTGCTACAGTGCTACTCATGAATAACTAAGGCTAAGAGAAGGAGTAGAGTAGTTGAAATCTGATCTCTATATATTACTTCTTAATAAAGGCAATTTCTCCCAAAAGTATAAAGTTATCAATGCAGCTTAAAACACACAATCTTTCATGCTTTAATTATGTAAAGAAACAGTGAAAGATCTGAGTGACTAAGATCCAAATATCAGGTTTGGAAAATGGCTAATCATAATACAGAAAGCTTCTCATTCTCTCTTAGAAATCCATGAATATTACATAAAGTGGAACTAACAAAAATAATTTCTCATTCAATTACGCAGAGAGCCTCCATAAGTGTTTCTATAATTCATACATGTGCATACTCATATTTTAAATTGTGTATGTATAGAAATACCATTCAATATCCTGTTCAATTTGCTACTTAATGTTGAGTCTCTCCAGCTCTCTCTCTCTCTCCCTCTCCCCCCCTCTATCACACACACACAAACATAATTAAAATTTTTAAAAAAATTTCTCCCCGCCAGGATACCAGATCATGGGACAGGGAGAGGCAAAGTAGTTTTGGCACAGTATAGCACCAAGAAAGCTAATTCTGAAATAAAAACCTCACTTCTTGTCCTGGGCACTTCCCAGGTCATAATATTCTTTAAAACATTTTTAAGTATTCAACATCACTCAGTAATTTGAAGGGGGGTGGGAGGGGAAGGAGCTTTTTTTTGAATTTACTAGAAATCTGCTTCTTAGCCTGAAAGGTGCTCTCATGAGCAACTGAATTAAAATCACTATATGATGGACTAATTGAGGACGTTCAAGACTTTTCATGAAGCTGTTCGAGAACATTTCAGACAAAAGTGCTTACAAAAGGTGGAAAACAAACAAAAAAGAAAGTCAATTTCTTTTGCATGCAGTTGATCTGCAGTATGTGTTTCAGAGATTAAATACAAATTTAACACTACTGATACCATGAATGGTACAGGAATTAACTGAAAAAATAGTAAATTTCTCTGGACAAGGCTAAAATATAAGTTTTTCAATTGGTCTTTGCTGTGGATTGAATCCCCGTGTATGATCTTTATAAATGGAAACACTGATGTCAATCTAGAGCACATTTAAACTTTTAATTTTAAATAATACTCAAAACACATTATTGAAAGGTGAGATTATCCACAAAAGCTTTCAATAGGATTATTTATGACCAGGAAAAAACTAATGGCTTGGTCTTCCTGCACAGAATAATAAGAACCAAATGGTCGAGCAACACTCCGAAACAAGTTCAAATGATGAAATATGCTTGTAGTATGTTACAGACAACTTAACACAATGCAAATGGTTCTACAATGATAACTGACAAATCTTAGGTGTCTGTGAAAGAGAAAATGTGGTCCCTAGGTCAGTAACAGTACCCCATTCTAAGCATTATTTAGTAACATGAAGGATCATGATTTCTGATATAACCATTAGTTCTAATCACCACAAAATGGTGATCAAAAATCTGTTTTCCCCAATATATAACTGAAATTTTATGGATATACAAGAACTTCACAGTATTGATAAGCAGAACTACTCCCCCACCCCTCCCCTCCTCTTTTTCCATAAAGAAATGTTTTTCTAGAGGATGG